TGACCCACTTCAGGAATAATCACAGCCCGATATGATAATTACCGGCTATATTTGGTAAAAAATGTAAATTCACAGCCAGCATCACATTTTAGAAACAATCCACGGGAGCCCTGAGTGTTTTTCTACGGTCTGTTTGAGTGACTGCATGCATCGCAGTCAACCATGTGCCAACAAAAGTACGCAGAGAACCATGTCTGTATCCACAGTCAGCTTTTTAAAACAAGTGAAACTATGACTTGGCCTTCTCGTGCAGGAAAAGATTTCCAGTCAAGAATGAAACCAGCGACTTAGTGTTTGGGGCATTTGCACCAGTACAGCGTGTGATATAACCATTCATTATTGTATACATTTATGTTTTTATATACGACTGTGTACGTGCTGTTGTCTTAACTTCTTTATCTGTCTGGCTGCTGTGCTTCAAGACTGAACTGAGCAGTTCATGCTACAGATGAGCAGAAATGCTTTGACATTTGAGTCCAAAGGGAAAATTTTCCACGCTTGTCTGTCACCACTACGGGCTGTTCGTTTTTAGATTTAGACAAAGAAAACACGGTTTCCATTTCTGTTTAGTTTCTGCTGAACATTTACTCTTTTAGAACAAACACAGTCTGAGATCAAGGTTTGACTTCAGGCATCAGATTCAGCCCAAAGTCACTGCTTTGATCACGGTCCCTTGTTCTGTTCTGCACACAGACAGGATGATCTATTGTCTGCACACGTCTCTCTCTGCACAGGTTTTATTTGCTGCCTTTAAACACACAGGAGGTCGCTGCCACCAGACCGTACTGTCTCTGACCTGGCCTTGCGTTTGCGGATCCTGCGGTCCATCTCGGCCTCCTCGTAGTAAAACTCGTTGTGGGAGTTGTCTCTCCTCCTGGCAGCAGCTGCTATCATGGCCCTGGACTGGCCCGTGGAGTTATTGGTGGTGTTTTCTACAAGACATCACATGCAGGAGGAGGATTAGCGGGTTGCGTTTCAGGTATTTATCCGTTTCTCGTACTCATGTGAAAGCAGGAGGAGGATAACGTTCACGTCTGAGCTCTCATGGGTAGATCCACGTGTGCGCGACTGATCTCACGCAGATGTGAGTTAAAGATGTCGGTTCTGATGCAGACCAACAAATGACATAAAAAAGACGAAGCTGTGGATTAAAGACGGGCGTCAGAGCCGTGCAGAGGCTGTATTTACCGTCCAGGGAGTAAACCTTGAAGCCGGTCATCTTCTTGGACAGGATGGACTTGGGCAGGTTGAGCAGCGCCGGGTTGTAGACGGGAAAGTCGCTGTAATAACGGTCCAGAACCCAGACAGCTGCCCGCTGGATGCTAAAACACAGAGAGTCAGTAAGTAACATCAAACATCAGCTGCTGACTGTAAATAAACACGCTGACGACAACATACACACAAACACAATAGTTGTGTCTTAGCATCGATTTCACATCAACACATTTATCTGGATGTAGAATATATCACACTTCAAACTATCATTAAAGGTATCAAGTCTGACATGCTGACATGTTTTTGCAACAGGATTTAAGGATAAAACATGGCGCACAAGAAACCCATCTTACATGTAAGCCAATGGACTGTAAGTCATGGAGAAAGAGGAGGTGTGACTTCATAGAACAGCTCATCAAACATGAGAAAGATGCTGTAGTTAAAACATTTTGTAATGACTTTATGGCTGGGTTTTGTGTGCAGCGTTCGGACACCCAAGTAGCTATTTAATGGGATTTTAAACCAATATTGTGATGTTTCTGCAGACTCAGGCCAAAACAGTAACAATACTGTGAACATAAGGTGAATTACTTTTTCTAAAATGCATAACAACAACCTTTTTATTCTGTTTGTATAACAACCAAACACAATGTCACAATGAGGGCATGAGCTGGTTGTTAAAAAAGGACCGGTACAAGGATTAAACAAGGCTCTGAGCAAAATGAGGAGTGGATGAATTTTGTACTGCTGAAATGTTTTCCTACACTACAGGATCACCAACAGAACTGATGAATCAAAGGTTTAATTTCACCTGAATCTTAACCAAAGAAAGAAATAAAGAAAACAATTCAAACTAAGTTTCCTTCTACACGTCTAATGCATTTTAAACTGTGATCCAATAAACATGTTGGGCAAAATGTAACTGCTTTGACCTACTTCTGTACTAAGAGAGGTCAGATGTGAGAATTATAATTCCCCAGTGGGAAATTTTCAACATTTATCTCCTTAATAACCTGTTAAAAAAAAATAATAATTCAACTGCTAAAATGTGTTTCTCCATGATTATGAGCAAGTTTGGAAATTTTATGTTATTCCTCTGAATAATACCCTTTTCCTGTGGCTCAATATCTATTTATTTTCTTTATCTTTTGATGATATTTAGTACCTACAATGAGCATTATATGCCTTTGTAAAAAAAAAAAAAGAAACTACTTCCAGTATTTAGATACACTGGCAGCCTCCTGCTTTTTTCACATGCTGTGTATAAATGTAAGTTTTCCTATAAATAATAATCTTTTGTCATTCAATAAAAGAAGCTACATTTGCTGTTAAATGTTGTCCAAACAGAAGCAGTATTACAACTGGAGTTAAAAAAATTGAGGTTGAATTAGGCAATGACACGTTTTCCTTCGTATGTGAGATTTGTGGCAACCTTGTGTTGGACTTCTGCTTGAACAACAGAACAATCTGCAGCGACAAAACACACCCACCTGGACCAAACAGTGTATTTTATATGTAATCACAACAGAAGCATGTGTTTAGTGGTGCTGAGGCTCACAAACCTGAGGTGGCCCACGTTGTAGAACCTGCTGGCTCCATCGGTGCTCCGGACCACCTTGAGGCAGAAGGCCGGCTGCAGGTGTCGGACCTCCAGCAGCACCAGAGCCAGGTACTGGATGAAGAGCAGGGCGTCCACCAGCGAGGCGGCGTACTCCACGATCCCCCGGTAGTCCTTCTCCCGGGGCTCCAGCACCCGCACGCCGTAGAACAACCAGTAGGACGCCACGAACAGGAACACCAGCACCATCAGCAGGCAGCGGAAGACAAAGAAGCGGGGCAGGGTGGCCCGGGGCGGCCGGAGGAACAGCGCCCAGGAGGAGATGAGCAGCACCAGCAGCTTGAAGGCCAGCGAGACGTAGAGGCCTTCACAGGGCGTCCCACAGGGTTCCAGGGCGTCGCGCCACAGCACCTGAGGGAGGATGAGGAAGGCCAGCGGGGTGACCAGGGCGAAGAAGCTCAGGCAGCCGCCCAGCGCCGGCCCGACGAAACGCTTGCACTCCAGCGGCGTCGACTCCTCCAGATCTTTGGTGACGCGGGTCAGGTCCTCATTGGAGATGCTGTGCTCGGAGGTGCCGGTGACGACGGTGGTGGTTTCTCCCCAGTTATCATCCTGCACGACAAAGACGAGGACATTAAGACCCATGTGTGTGTTTAGGGCTCATTTTCACCATCTGTACAAACTGTGCTGTGTTTAATGATAAAATGCAATAAATCTAATGAAGTAACATACGTTTATCCGAGTGTCTCTGCAGATATCACCAACATATGTTTTTACTTAGTAACTGAAAAAAACTCATAACCAGATCTGACAATCTACAGAAATGAATCAAGCATTTCATACTAAACAGTCACTGATTAAAGCTTATTACACTGGAAGATTAGCAGCTTTTCTGCCAAGTATAATTCAGTGACTTTCAATATTTCAACAGTTTTCTCGCAATTTAAAATGTCACTTTGGTCTCACGTAGAAGAAAAATTTTTTAGAGCAATTTCTGCTTGACTGTCTCTGTTTTGCAAGATTTATTTTATTTGTGACATTTGAGCTGGATATATCAAATACTTTCAGAGATTTCATTTAATTTTATTAATAATTTGCCCATTGACGCACTTAGCCTGTTTTTTGAGCATTTAAATTTGAGGCTACATTTAGATTGCAATACTTTTTTAGGAGGAACTTTCTTTTAGGATTAATGACTGACTTTTTTACTGTTATTTCTCATCATGTCATTAATTGAAAATCTGCAAAATTAGACATGTAGATCAAGTCATAAAGAGTATTTGTTCAATTAAAACAATCAAAAATGTCAGTGATAGAATTTTAAATATCAATTGTTTAGGATAAAATAAAGTTTCAAGCAAATCAGAGATGGTCAAGCAGAAGGCCTCTGGTGATTTTAGATGGAATGACCCTATCTTGACATTTTTTAAACCGATAAAATATTAAGCAAATAATGAATTAAAATTGTGGGAATCTGTTTTGCATCAAGGCGTAAACCCAAGATGTTTCTATTAGGGCTTGAGCAAATCCAGCAGAATAATGTCAGACATTTTAATCCTTCTCAACTCAGTTATAATTCCTAGAAAGTTAAAATTAGAAGTTATGAAAGGAATCGGGGGCGTCAGCATCTTTGCTCCAGGAGGGGCGACAGGTTGGTTAAGCTTAAATACAAAATACTTCTTTACTATTTAAAGAAAGACTCGTGTAGGAACAAATGTGTCTCCGCAGGCGCCTCCATGAAAACACGCCTCTGCACTTAAAATAATGTGTCATTTATGCGACTGTCAGCACCTGCTCGGCTGAAACAAAATGACTGACGGCTGCAACAAAACCCACTCGAGCTGTGAAAGAAGCTGCTTCGACAGGATTTTCTTCAAGGAGATCCAAACATGATTGAGAGATACATTTGGAGAACCGGCATAAAATCGATCTATTTTATTTTGACATGAACAGAAACAGCAGAGTGCACAAATTGACTGAGCTGTGCGTTTAACTTCAAGAAGGCATTTATTCATGCAAAAACAAACAGAATATTCAAACACAGATATTGTCCGTGTGACTAAAGCCCGCAAGTGATACGTAACGACTTGAGCTGCATGCAGAGTCAACCACAAATTAACGTAATTGGAGGTCAGAGATGAATAAATATGCCCTCAAGATGGACAAACTGCAGTGTACACGGTGTAACTGACCCTGTCATCGCCGCGGGTCGACTCCGCATCGAGCAGCGGCTCTCCAGGAGTTTGTATCGTGACTGATTTGTCTCCACGACTGCTGCTGTCTCGGCTCTTGGAGCGATGACGGTCCCTCCGATCCCTGAAACACACAACAAAATACAGCGTTACTGCATTAAAACTAAGACTTTGCTTCATTTGCTCCCTCTGTGATGATATTTTGGGGTTTAGAAAATGTTAATGTGACATTCTGCTGTCAGTGATGTTATTTTTTAAGTCATGAACGTACAGTGCTCGGCTCACATGGACTTCCTGGTGGTGAAACATTGTCAGGGATGAACATACCTTCTTAAAGTACATTGCATTAATGTCCCAAAGCTCAATATTCCTATCTTCCAAAGTTGTTTTTCCTCTAATTTAAACCAAACTGACCCAACAGTCACAATGATTTGAGCTAATTTTTTAACTTCTCTGGGTGCATATAATAAAAAGCTATATGTTCAGACTACAGCCATCCCTTAATGCATTCAAATGGCTAGCTGAGATGTTAGTTTAACAAATGATGCAGTTAATGCATGTTAACAGGGAGAGAATTTAGGAGGTTTTTATAATCTGTCACATGCTTATACAGTACAGGCAATAAAATGCCAGGTGACTGTTCCACAAAGCTGTGCAAAAATAACTGAACATGATAATAAAAAAACCCTCATAAAAATAGAAAAAGTCAGGCGCCCGGATAGCTCGGCGGGTAGGGCGGGCGACCCATGTATAGGGGCTTTAATGGTTCGATTCCAGCCAGTGGCTCATTTGCTGCATGTCATTCCCCTACTCTCCTCCTGACGTTTCTCTGTCTGTCTTCACTATCATTAAAGGTGGAAAAGCCCAAAAAAATATCTTGAAAAAAATAGAAAAAGTCCTAAATAATGAGTAAAGAGATTGTGAAACTAAAGTGCAGTGTCTGTACATTGCGTTAAAGTTGCAGTCATAAGTGTGTGTGTGTGTGTGTGTGTGTGTGTGTGTGTGTGTGTGGTCATCTATACGTTACAGCCATATCTACACAGTGAGATGTCAGAAGATATTGTGTAGTTCATGCAGTGCAGCAGCTTCTTCAGTTTCCCTGGACAACATGTTTACGAGCCTGTCCGGAGTCAGTCGGTGTCTCTAATTGGTTAATTGGTAAATTGGCTTGTTTGGTTTTTTTTGCTGGGTCACTTCAGAGTCTAATGGACGTATATTATGATAAAAGCATCCTGCTGGCTGCATATGAGGTGATGTTTGTCAGTGGTGTGAGTGTGCTCGTATCTTCCACTTCATTGTGCAACACAGTTCATCCTCTGGTCTGGACGGGGCCTGCAGGAGGTCATCTGGCGAACAACTTAAAAGTTCTCGCTGGAACTCAGCATTAACACATCTGCTGTCTCACTGTTCACTTCTTAGTACAAGAATCTGATAGAATTGTGGAACCTTCACAAGTCAGTGCTTCCTACAAATAAACAGCAGCTAGTTTGGCTGTTCACTCCTTTAAATAGCAGCTGCAGATGGATTTACACCTTTTAAATGTAAAGCTTGAATTTTTCAAAGACTGCATAACCAGTTGTATTGTTGTTTACTGTGGTTGATTTGGCGCCATTTCTGTTTTGTCATTCTTCTAGTCTGGTCTTGTAGGAGCCACATAGACACCAAGTATAAACCTGCACAGCCCTCTAGTACAGCAGATTAAACATTTATAACATCTACTCGGGTATTCTATTTAATACAAGCTGCACAATCAGAGATTTATCTGATTATTTAACAGCGGAAGTCCCAGGAGTCTCTTGGACACTGTCCAAGCACAACTTTGACGAACTGTGGCCCTGACACTAAAACTATGATGAAGAAAATGCATGTTGAAAAATATTGCTGTTTTTGTTGTAGCTCTAGCTATGCTGTGCACCTCACCACATGTCATACACTGTTTGTACTAATATTCAGATCTGTGAACACCAAGAAAGCAACATGAAATTTTAGCCTGAATGGTTTTCAAAAATGCTGTTTTTTGTTTTTTTTTTAGGGCCAATAACGATGTTGATATCGATTATAATTCCAAAGACTGATAGC